TTTAATGGTTTGTGTCATCTTTATCAGCTATATCCTTACAGCTCAAGTGTAAAATAAGGTGGGATAAAAGTTGTATACTTTATTCACACTCTTTATAAGTTAGTTACCAATGTTTAGTACTCTAATTTGGTCTCTGCTCTCATCAATCCTAAATGACTGATTACATATTAACAAACAATATGAAATAATTGATAATTTTATATGAAACATTGTGAGATCATTGTGTTTTATTTGAGGTTCTGAACTTTGACACTGCATTAATTATTAGATGTAGATGCTGTTAGAATATTGTAGTAGAGATTTAAGTTTTTGTTTGGTGTTGTTGCATTTATGATAAATAGAAAAGTGTGGTATATGGTCAATTTTTAGTTTTTTTATTTGTGTTTATAGATGAATTATTGTTAATGACTTTCAACAAAGACCAAGACTAATGCTTTATTACTTAAAGGATTTTTTATAAGAAGTGGTCTTTTTCACTCACTCTTTTTAAGAGGTCTACTCCATTGACTGTGTGGTTTTGGTAAATTCCGTCAATCTCTATTAGTCAAAATCACAGTTTGGAATAGATTGTATCTTAGTCTTAGTTGAATTGTTTTCAGAATAGGTAGTTAGTACCTACTAAAGTTACATAATAATATTGTGTTTTAGTTTTTAGTGTTAATAATACCAAATGGGTCTTCCAAAGTGATTATGTTTGTGATTTTATTTAACTTGCTTGATAAATGTGTGTAATTTTACCATATATAATTATTTTATCGATTTTAATTCATAAATAAACATTTAATAGCAGATTTATTTTTATTGTTTTTTTACAATTGTGCAACCAAAGAATTTCATTTTAGTATTTTTTTCCTTCTCTGACTTTTAAGAAAGTCGTTATCACTGCTTACAATAAAACAGTGATATTTATTTATTTATTTTATTTATTCATTGCAACGGTAGAACCATTTAGAATAAAATACAAAAAATAGTAAAAAGTAAAGATCATGTACAATAAACATCAAAACAATAACAAAGAAACAAGTAAACAGTTAAAATGTGTACATTAAAACAATATATCATATCACAAAAAATTTTAAAAAAGTATCAGTATCTCATAGTAAGTATCACATATCCAGATTAATAGTCAGATTCTTAAGTTCCTTTAAAAGAATTAATGTTTATGCAGAAAGGATCCAATAGGAGGTCATTGCAAGAGCTGAGCATTCTGACAGGGGAAAATGACGAGCATAATCAGTCCTATGAAAAGGAATATGAAAAAGTGCAGTGTGTCGAGTTCTATGCATTGTGTTTAAGTGTACATTGCCAATAACGAGGGACAATTAATAACATTGTTCAGAATTTTAAACAAAAATAACATATCAGCTCTCAACCTGCGGTTCTTCAATGTATCAATATTAAAATGAGACATTATTATAGAATAATCTAGAAATAATTTTCAGTATTTTTTATATTAATATGGCTTTAAAAGCTAAAGATCTAGCAACTTCCTCTGAACGCTCTCCAATCCATCAATGTATACTTGATGAAACGGGGACCAGACACAGAGCAGCATTCAAGACCTGAGCGTACCAGAGAGCAATACAATAATTTAAATACAATAGTGAGAGATCATGACTGTTGCGATAAATAAAACCAAGATTACGAAATCCTGTTTCCTTAACTTTAAGAAAATGGCTTCTAAATGTCAATGCACAATCCAATAATACACCCAAATCTCTAATCTCAGTAACTGAATCCAAGAGTACATCATTAAGAATATATCTATTAGCCATAGATTATTTATACGACCAAATGAAATACAAGAACATTTAGTTGGATTTAAGCTTAAATCATTTTGTTTTGACCACAAACATATGTTGTTTACATCATCTTGCAGGAGATCTCTATCCGATTTATTACGTATACAACGAAATATCTTAAGATCATCAGCAAATAGCTGGAAGTGTGAGTTTTTGATAGCCTTACCAATATCGTTAATGAACAAGTTAAAAAACAAGGGACCACAATGAGTGGTACACCAGAATGTGGTCCCCCCAGTGGTACACCAGAATAACAATGAAATTCTTTTGAAATATAATTGTTAATACGAACTTGCTGTGTACGTCCCATCAAAAACTTTTAATCCAATTAACAATGGATCACCAAAGCCAGATGCATGAAGTTGTGGACCAAAAGATTATGATTAACCTGGTCAAAAGCCTTTGAGAAATCAGTGTAAACGCTGTCAACCTGAATTTTATTCTCAAATGCACCCAACAAGTATTGTTGGTAATGAGAAGGTTTGTTACAGTTGATTTCCCATTAGAAAAACCATGTTGTTCATCAATAATTATGTTTCTGCAAGTCCAGGTGAGATTTATCGATCCCAATTTATCAAGAAGTTTCGGATTGCTGATTGAATAGTTATACCTCTATAATTGTTAACACACTCGCGATTGCCAGATTTATAGATAGGTGTAAGAAAACTATTTTTCCAATATTGTGGAAATACAGATGATGAAGGGAAAAAATACAGTTCTTAATAAGTGCTGCAGGTATACCATCAGGCTCTGAAGATATGTATTTTTTAAACTGCTAATCCCCTCGAAAACATCAGTCAGACTAAACTTCAGACTCTGGAAATCCACATTATAGTCCAATTTAAAATTAAGTAATTTACACTCACTATCATTATATGTACCTGAAAAATAGCTGACAAATAAATTGACTATTTCATCACCATTCTGAGCTATTACATCCCCACCTTTATTAGACATTACATTAGGATAAGCACTAGACCCACGTGTAGTACTAACATACCTCCAAAAAGAGTGGGGATTACTTGAAAGATTTGTTTGAATATCCTCTAAATAGTTTTTATAACATACTGCTTGTAATGCTTTACATCTTTCCGGTAAAATTCATCATATGAGTTGCCTGATGCTTTAAAATTCTTGTGAGCTATTTTTTTCTGTATGACAAGCTCAATTAATTCTCGCGAAAACCAAACTGGAAAGTTTAATGATTTGAACCGTTTGATAGGAACAAACATATTGATGGCATAATATAAAATATGGTAAACATTTTCTAGCAATTTATATCTGATTCATCTAATACATTGTTTCCAAGGAATTGAGGCTAAATATTCATTTAAAACTTGGTAATTACATTTTTTAAAATCATGATAGAAGACATCATATTTAAGAAACAAATTTAAATTGGCTTCATGTAACACTATAGTAAAGCTGAATGATGTTGCGAAGTATTCAATAGAATATCATTGAAATCGACACAACTGCGTCTCTCTGAGTACAGAAAACTAGATCTAAAAATTTATTATTAAGGTTAGGCAAAGCATTTACTTGTGACATATTTTGAAAATTGTAGCGAGTACAAATAATATTTGCTGGAGAGTGATGAGGACGATCTTCCATATTGATATGGAAGAGAGCCTTCCATAACTGCAATAAAACAATATAAGAATAGGTCTACGTTTCATAAGTCTATGTATCAGGTATAACCTTGCAGTCTGGGTCGAGTGCTTCCGCAGCCCCATCCCTATCGGGAGTGCGTCCACTTGGAAGGGTACTTTAAGTTTGTATATGGTCAGAAATCATCATCCATTCGGTATCCTTAATTCCATTTATATTACTACTACTTGTCGGTTTATAACGTTCTCCTCCGTTTTCCAACTTCCAATCGCCACTAAGTCCGGCTGTTCCATAAGTCTTCTTCTATGGCCCTCTCTCTCTCTCTCAGTTCTTTATTTATTCCTTCGCTCCACCTTTTTCTCGGTCTACCTCGTATTCTCTTTCATTTTGATTGTCATTTTAATATTTCTTTTGGTATTCGTTGTTCATCCATTCTTTGTATGTGTCCGAACCAGATAAGTTTGTTGTTAGGTCATCTGTGATTGTTCGTTTGATTCCCATCATTTCTCTAATGCGTTCGTTGGTAATATTTTCTCTTCTAGATCTTCCTCCGTCTCTTCTCCAAAAATCCATTACCGTCGCTTTCAGCGTTGCAAGTGTTCTTGTAAAGACGTCGTCAAGATCAAGACGACCTCAGCTATATGATGAAGAAACTACAAGAAGAGTATACCAAGGCTGGCCTAGATATTAACCTCGCGAAAACATCTATCTACAAGAAGAAGACATATAGAAGCTCTACAGATTGATGACAACGTAACAATCAAAGGAAAGGACAAATTCAAATACTTGGGGTTTATAATCACGAAAAAGGCAACAACAGAGGAAGAAATTACGCAAAAATTAGGACAAACAAGAATAGCAATCCGACAACTTAACTCAGTATGGTGGTATAGACACCTAACTATGAAGACAAAACACTGTTGTTCAGTTGTTATCAACAGGTCCTCGTAGGCACTTCGTCTCAGGACCATTTTACTCATGTAGAGTCATACGCCGCCATGTTACCTATCCAACGGTAACTTAACCATCACAAATTATAAACACTAATAATGTAAAATAATTTCAAATTTATAACTTTTAAGGGTTTTTACCCATATATTTTGGTGGCTACTAGCATGTACAACCGTTTGCACTGATGATGGATTGTTTAATCCGAAAACGTTTTGCAATGTGTTTGTGATAGCCCGTTTGAGCAATTTTATATACCTTTTATAAAGGATTTTAACAAATTTTTTTTCTTTCCATATGGTTTTATATTAAATTTAATCCATTTAATTAATTTTAATAGAGAAATTTGTAATCATAAAAATATAAATGGGTTTTGTTTAATTATTATTAACCATAAATTTTTCTTATTATTAGGTTAAATTAAGCCAAATATAAATTAAACATTAGTTCTACTACATATTTTATAAAAAAAAAAAGAAAAAAACATCCCTATAATCCCCTATTTAAAAGATGGCACTATAAAAGTACGAATGATTCGGAACACTCTCGTAACTATCCCCACCACATAGGTGACATAACCTTCAATACCGGTTTGACATTTAGGATGACTTTTATAATTCATTAATTCTGTCACTTTTTCATTTGCCGACAGTTGAGCTGTAAAATTAGTTTTACTCGAATTCATTTAATTCGCTTTTACAAATTTACAATTTGTTTGCTTAATTTCTAAACCACAATGCCAGCCAAAGCAGTTTGTGTACTAAAGGGAGAAGTCAACGGCACTGTATTTTTTGACCAAGCAGTAAGTTTGTAATATTAAAATTTATTTTCAGAAAAAAATGGTTGAATATATTTTATTAGATAATTAGGTTGTTGATAATAGGTAGTCTAAAGATCAAGGACATTAATGTAGAAGATTTGAAGTAGTAGTTAATTGGTATATACGTAAAAAACTAGATTTTAAGAGGTACATTTGGATGTTACTCCAGAGATTATATTATTTTGTAAAATAAAAATTTAATGTGCGTGATAAGGATGTAAGTCCTTGAATAATTTATTAAGGTATATTACTAGACAGAATTAAAAAAATAAGATGTTACTGAATGCTATTGCTTAATCTTCATAAACCTATTTCAGAAATACATTTTCAACTCCCATGATGTTTTTTAATGTGTATTATTTAAATATTTCCAAAAATAGTTTCTGATAGTAGTAAAAATCAATAAACGCCTGAGACAAATTGTAGAAAATTAATAAGCTACCAAAGAAAAAATTATTAGTCTATCCAATCAATATTAACTATTTTCTATAATAGGGTTTTTGGGCTTATAATCTGTAGTTTGTTCATTTTCATAATCTGGTACCAGACAATTGAGGCATGCATATGTATTGAATAACTTTGCATGTATAACTTGAATAAATACAGCAGTTTTTTGCATATTAAATAATATTGGAACCTTCAAGTATGTCCCTATTACAAGTGAAGTATGAATCTTTGTATGTTCTCAGAAGTTTTTGTAAGAAAAAGACTAAAAGCCTTTTTTAATGGCTTGAAAATATTTTAAATCTTGTTTAAAAGATCTTGTCATTTACAACGGCATATCTGGTTACAAATATGTTCCCTGTGTTTAATCTAGCATCATCATCAGTGGCATTACAGCTCATTATGAGCCAAAGCCTTCTTCAGAACAATCTTCCATTCGCCCCTGTCTTTGGCTTTTCCCTCGAAACATTTAAGCAATTCTTGGTTGTTCTGTGCAAGTGACCACATTTCTGACCCTTATGTTAACACTGGCCTTATTAGTGTTTTATATATGGTAACTTTCATTTTTGTGGGTAGTTTTGGGGCCATCTGTTTCCTCACGCCATAATAGCACTTATTGGCAAGCTCTATTCTTCTTTTAATTTCTTCGCTGACATTGTTGTCTTTGGTCAGCAGTCAGAGTCCAGGTAGACGAAGGTGTCCACACCTTCCAGTTCTAGATCATCAATTAATAGTCTAGGTATCTGACATTTAATCTAGCATATCCTCATATTTTATGAGAGATTCCTGAGAAAATTGACTGCTGTTAATAATTTAATAAATAGTCTGGAAATTACCATATTACGGGTGTCTAACTAACCTGCTTAAATGCCTCAACATTTTGTCCATAAATGTTGTCATCCTAGTTTCCATAATTATATATTTCAATTAGAGGTCAACATAAAAAGATGTTCACAACAAAATTCTTAATTGTACTATTTTCATCAAAAATTTAGATAATTTGGAATTTTTTTCAATATATTATTAGACATTTTTTCCAAATCAAAATATCATATCTGGATTTTAAAAAACTTAAAAGTTTTTTAATATTGATTATTTACTGTCGGGATGAATCACATGACAAAATCTTATTTCAAATATACTTAGGATCATAAATTGCATTTGAATTGATTTTAACAGCATTTTTCTTTATAAAACACCTAATAAAATGTTTTTATTTTGTACAGGTTTGTAATCTACAAAAACTGCTACCACATCCTGTTTCTATGGAATAAATTATGATTTTCATGTATTGCAAAAGATTAAATATATCATAATTTTATATATAACTAGGACCAACAAACTGAGATTCATTATGATTAATTGCTGATAAAGTAGATAGATAAAAGTCTGATAATTTTTATCAAAAAGGTGCCACCTTTAGCCCTAGCAATTAAGCTATCACTAAAACCAAATGTTTTAACCAAATAATGTTTCAAGTACCTTCCAATATTTCCCTAAAAGTTCAAATTTGCAACAAAAGTGAAAAGGAAAATATCTATGTAATTCTGCAAATTTCATCCATGTTGCATACTTCAAATCCATCAATAAAAATCAATTATCTTGTATAATTTGATCTGTAACAGTAATTTATGAACAGCATTTTTATTTTAATATGTTGTTTTTATATCTATTTATGGAGTTAATTTTGACTCTATCCCTAGAAGGTAAGCCTGGCAAAAAAATTCTTGATTCTAAAACACAGAATATGAATATTTTGTTCCCAAAACGCATACAGTGGAACCTCGATTATCTGTCAGGGCACCAGACCAAGGGTATGATGGATAATCGAAAAGACAGTTAACAGAACATTAAAAAAAATTCATAGTATAACTCTCAAATTTTATTTGTATGTTTTATTTGATAATATATGAAGGATTTATGTTAGTACAGTCGAATCAATTTGACTTAAATCATTCCGAAATCTTTGTTTTATTGTTACTTCTCATTTTGCAACAGGTGAATTTCTTAATCGACGTAATAATAATAATAATAATAATAATAAATATAATAATAATAGTAAAATCATTAAAGCTACCTTATTTGCTTCTTCTTGCCGAGAATAGCACTTGATGAATTTTTGTATGTGCGATGCAGCTCCTCTAGCTTCTTTACGCAAATCTTTGTGAGTTGTAATAGCATCATCAACATCACCACCATCAAAGTCGGCTTCTGAATCAGTTTCGTCTGCCTCTGTTGCAATTTCAAGGATTTCATCGTCTGTCAGCAATAGATATCCGTTTGCGTCCTCATCACAAATTAACCATTCGTTTATGTCATCTTTAGGCAACGAAAACAAAACAGTTGATTCAGCCATAACTTCATTTAAGGGGAGCATTTTCATCTTAAGTTGATTCAAGCCATAATTTATTCCAGGCTCTTTTCAGCGTTACTTCCAAAACATGAGCCCAAGTATCCACAGCATTGTCAACTGCGTGTTTTAAATTGTATGCTTTCCAGTATTCTGGCAAAGAATATTCCTCTTCCATAACTAGGTTTTGAATAATTTTTTTTCCTGTATATTCTTTTGAGTGCGCTAATGACTGAATGATACATTTGTTGTATCAATGACATATTCGCAGGCAGAAAAGAGTATGTGATATTTTTATCGTTACTACGCAGCATGCCGGCATTAGGATGGGCAGGTGCATTTTCCAAAATGAGAATCATCTTTGGTGGAAAATTTTTTTGCAAACAAAATGAATTGACTAAATTGTTACTTATGTTGTCAATATAACTTATGTATGGACCCTGATGGTTAACAGAGGTGACAGTTAATATAGAGATGGATAATAGAGGTTCCACTGTATTTCGTAGCTCTTGAAAAAACTAGTGGATGCTCTTAATAAACATGGTGAAAAGAATCTGGAACATGATTTTCAAAAATGTGGAATTGTCCCATTTCACAAAGAAAAAGCTATAAATAAATACAAAAATTCCCAGCTACAAACTAAATCTTCTGGATTTCTTCGAAATAACATTGTTTTCTTAGCAGGGATACAGAAATAAATCCTACAGAAATTGAACTGTTTTAACTAAATAGGGTAAAATTATGTTCAGTGGAATCCTTTATCTTTATAGAATGACTAAACAGATTTTAAATTTAAATTGACCTTGACAACAAATAACCTTTAATCAAATTAGCTCTGTCACTGATTTTATTTAAATATTTATTTATTCTGATAGTTCAAAGATTCCTTTTTGAATAGAATTCAATGTGCATTAAAATGCACTGTACCTGTTTATATAACAACTTTAAATCATAGTTAAAATTAATGAAATATATGATTATATTTTGTAATAATGCTGGTTGTTGGTGTAAAAGTTTAATTTTTGTTTAAAAATTCAGTAAAAACAGGCTTGGACTAGTGAAATTTTCTGGTCCAGGAAATCTTAAAAAAAATCGGTGTCAGTCATAGGTTGATCCATAGTGAGCGATAGAGCCATTACTCTTTTAAAATCAAAAATCAAAATCACATACATAGTTTTCTGTAAACTTAACCCTACAATATTTAAAAAAATTGACAAATTAATGAGAATAATGTATGATCAGCATTAGAATATGAATCAAAAACTACTAATAAAATCATAGTAAACAAGTAATTTTATAATTTACAGTAAAATTAAGGAAACAAAACAGTTTTTACAAAAGGCAGACAATTTAAACCAATAATCTTAATAAACTAATGAAACTTAAAAAAAAACTAAAGTTAAACAGCACAGTATTCACATTATGAATGTATTTCTTACAATCTTACAATATATTGTTTATATACAAGTATTCATTTGTTTCAAAATTTCATTCAAAAAAGTCAAAACTCATAATTCAGTTATCTGACATTTGACCTCTAAAAATCATACGAACAAGCTGAATTTTGCTGAGAATGTCAATTTTGGGATCACAAAAAGATGCAAAAATTTTACTGCCCCTACTTCCCGGCTTGATATATCTATGCTTCTTTTACTGAAGTGTTTTTTAACAATACATTATGATGATCAATAGAGGAGTCTATTTTTTGGCAACAGGGTAAATTATTTAATATGCTAATATTTTGTATTTTTTTTAGAATGGTTCCAGTCCCGTCCAAGTAAGTGGCGAAATCTCCGGATTAACCCAAGGCCAACATGGCTTCCACATTCACGAATTCGGCGACAATACAAACGGTTGCATCTCAGCTGGAGCTCATTTCAATCCTCATGGTAAAGATCATGGTGGTCCCGAAGCTGCCGTCCGACACGTCGGTGATCTTGGAAACGTAGTAGCCGACGCAAGTGGTGTTGCTAAAATCAACATCTCAGACAAACTAATTTCCTTGGAGGGAGAACACAACATCGTTGGTCGTACTGTAGTAGTCCATGCAGATCCTGATGATTTGGGAGTTGGTGGACATGAATTGAGCAAAACAACAGGAAATGCCGGTGGAAGATTGGCGTGCGGAGTTATTGGATTGGCTAAGATTTAAAATATTTTTGTAGGAGACAAGTAAAAGCATAATTATATAAGTTTATTTTTAACTTAAAAAGTGTCATTCAGTTTTTATCAATAAAAAGTTGGTTTAGAGTGTTTTTCTTATCTTTTTGTAAATAATATTGACTCCAGAATACACACAAATTAGTTCTCTAGATAATATTTATATCATGTTTGTTAACAACTTTATTGCATAACCATTCTTATATTAATAAGTGACTTCGTTTATTTATAGATCTAAAATTAGTATATCAGCTTTCTTCTTGGTGGTAACTTTTCGATAAACAGTAGTTTATGGTTGATAAACAGTAGTTTATGTTTATAACCCTTATAGTTCAGGTTTTTTGGTGTTAACGACTATTTGCCATCCAGAACTAGTGATGGAAAATGCAGACTTTATATAGACCAGGATCAAAGGGTATGGATCACTAAAGATACCTGGGTCTCGGGTGATTTGGATCTTTACTAATGGAGCTAACAACTATAGTCTTCATTGAAATTGGATAGATACTGAAAAAAAATTTTTGTTAGCACACAAAAATAGATACTTTGGCCACAAAAAAATCAATATTTTTGCAACATATATACGAGACAATTCCTATTTCAGTTGGCCCAACTATTAAAATAGTCACTACAAAAAATTATATGTACTACATGGTCTTGTTGGTTCTCAATACAAGTTAATTACCATGGTATTTTAATAGGCGAGTTTTCTACAGCTGGCACCGTTTCTCGCATACTAATTTTCATCGTTTTGTGTCTAAACAATCTTCAGTTTTTAAATTTCTGGCAGTAATTGCAGCTTCATCATCTCTACAGGACCTTCTTGGTCTACTTAGGTTTCTTCTAGTAGGCAGACTCCATTTTTCTATCTATTTTCAGACATTTTCTGCAGGTGTCTATACTAGTTTATTCTTCTGCCTTCAGTTGTGTCTATTATGTCTAGATCAATTTACATTTCTCCCCGAATATCTTAGTTCCTCACCCTGTCGAGTGAGCCAGCAACATCGTCTACAATAGTTAACTTCCATGGCCTTAATTTTTGATTCATTTTCCAGAGTTCGGCGCCGTACGGCGAGTGTTATGAGGTAGGATATTCATATCTGCGTAACTAGTTATTGAACCTATTCTTTTTTGTCTTTTTTTTTTGCTAAAATTGTTCGATTTATATCGATTCGTTTATAATCGATTTTTGAAATTTATATTTGTAGATAACAGCTTCATGATTTTCAAAGAACCGTCTGACCTTTGATTTGTTGAAACGTTTAATACAATTAGTACTCTTGGCTTCGGGCTTACGAACTCTAATGATAGGATTTTGTTTCAAGAAACCTTCCAGCTAGCTGTTTCTGGGCATTAAAACAATGCTTTATCTTAAAATTTTCTGCCCATCTGACAAGGCATCTAAATTGCCACCCCAATAAATCATAGAACATGTTGGAAATCTTAATTATACGCGCAGGCATTTGTTTTTCTTGTTCGATTGTAAACATTCTTTAATCTTAGCTGGAATGTTTGATAGGGGATATTACATTGAAGGGATGTTTTTCTTATACTCATTCCATTAGCCACCAACCTATCTCCTCTTTGAAGATCTGATGGCCATGAACCCTTATCAGTTTTTCGTTTCCATGTTCTGGGCATTTGAAATAAATTAAAAAATGGCTCCGTTCTGTAAATCAGTCATTTGCATAAACTAATTTTGTTGTAATTACAGCTTTGAAAAATCAAATCACATCAATTATTGTTAATTACTGTCATACATTTTAAAGTTTCTTGGTGTTTGTGCGGTTTGAAAATGGACAGAGAAAGGGTTATTGATGAAAAAATTTGTTCAATAATTGTTTGATTTCTTAATTATGGGAAAACAAACTGAAATTTCAGATTTATTCAAATTATCACATTATCATTATATCAGTATAATAAATATAGATAGAAGATGTAGAACTAAGATTGGGTCACTAAAAAGCCTCGCAATGTGGAAAAAATTATTGACACCGATAGAAATACAAGACGACATTTTTGAGGTAAGCGTTCCCCACGTTCGTAGACTTAAAAGTTTTTTTTACTTGTTTTACGTGAGCGTTAATTATGTAGTGATTTTGAAAGACATACAAAGAAATTATTTGACACACACACCAAAAGAAAATAGAGTAAACTGGGCAAAAGAACATAAGGATTTTACTTTTCACTTTTTCAGTAACGAGATACAATGGCTAGATACAAAGGTATAGGCGTTTCATCCTGACTGTCTTAAAGAAAAGGGAAATTTCGTGCAGCGATGATAATTTAATGCAGTATGTCATCTAAAGGTGAAGGACAAACATACTTTTGTAAATGTAAAATAAAAGTCCTTTAATAAATAATTATTATTTATTTTTGCCAACCACAATATAAACTGTTTATTCTGTATTTCAAAAATTGTAGTGTATCCCCCAAAAATAAAAAAGTATAAAACAATTTTACAAGTGGAGTGATTTGTGCCTCTAGTGTAAGCTATTAGAAAAAAATAGTAGGAAACACGAATTGCAGTATATATCAACATGGCATAGATGGCGCAAGAATGCATTCTGCGGTGTTCCTAATCCCTGTAGCACAGAATGATAATATTCTGTGCCTGTGGTATAAAATTTAATTATTTGATCTAAGCGCGCCGTTTTCGTGCTAATGGATTGAGATTATCGAGATTATGATTATTTTTGGATATTATTGGTCTATTCTTGATCGTGTTCATTCATTCATATAGCTTTTTAATCTAGGAATACATTCCTTTTCCTATTGATCTTCTGGGTGTTCAAGATCAGAATTATCCTTATAGTAATTTATAATTATTAAATATTCAATTTTATCTTTTATTATCGTCTAATTTGTCAATACACCATCAACTCCTTATCACATGATTGAATGATCTAACAGGAAAAGACCACGTAAGCGAAGAGCAGAGTGCAGAGTAGAAGAGAGTGAACGAACGAAAGTAAATATAAATATAACCTCGATTTATTTCAAAAACAAAAATAGTTGTGATGTTATTTTTTTATTTTAATAAATTGACAACATATTTAACGTTCTTAATATTCATCACAGCTATAATTGGTGACTATGTAGTAAGCTACAGTAAACTTCACTTGTTTCAAGCATTATTTGACAATGCCACTCATTTTTTAATAGGAGGACTCTCTTGGTTGATCGTATGTTTAAATACAAAGGATGCTAGCCACACTGAAAAAATAATAGAAGTCGTGTTATGCAGTTTAATATCTTCTATAATTGATATCGATCATTTTATTGAAGCACGATCCATAAATCTAAAGGTACCTAAATTAATATACTTAGATTACAATTTTAATTATTACTATAAAATGATGTTTTGTTGCTTTGTATGCAGCTATATGAATGATATTAATCAGTTTTGTTCTTATTCCTTTCGTGTGTTGTTTCATCTTCTTTTTGTAATGTAAGGTTTGTGAATTTTTAGTTTATTTGTTGTTATTCCGATTCAAGAGGTAAATTCCTTGTATTGATTCCAATTACTGAAAAATTTTTTGTTCATAAAAACAGCATTGCTCAGGACTGAATTGAAAAATTTCAAACTTCAAACTCATCACTTTTGAGCAAGCTATTCAACCAAGATATTTATCGACAAGTGTCTTTAACAAATTTGCTTTCTTAACATATGCATCTACATATGCATTTTTATTTTGACTTGAAGCTCATTACTTTATCTAGTGTATTTGTTATCATCTTTACTTTAGATATTTTTTCTGTTACCGAATGTTTTGCTTTATAGCTTTTACATTAGAATATTCAAGTCTTTAAAATCTTTAGTTAAGTATATAATAATTAGAATTTTAGACATATATTAAATAATTTTTCTTTTTCAGAATGCAACAAAACTAAAACACAGACCATTTCTTCATTGTTCAACATTTCCTTTAGCTTTTTGTCTATTATTGTTCCTAACAGGCCATGTTTTGGACAATTATGCTTTAAAGAGGAATGGTTTATTACTGTTTACTGCTTTTGGCAGTCATCACACAAGAGATGCTACTAGACGTGGGTATTGGTTCTATCCATTTGGTTCTACAGTACCTCTACCCTATATAATGTACATTGGTATTAGTTGTGTCTTGCCACATACTGTCATGTATGTGCATAGTTACTTTAATGGACTTAAAAATATCAGTAGAACTGTGATACATATCTAGGATTTAAGATCATTCATTAGGCATATTTTAAAACGTGATATTGCTTATGATTAAGCATTTTTCGTTAGTTATAAGTATGTATGTATATATTCGCCCAGTTATCAGTTTTAGCTTTAATTGGATTATTTTATGTTAAGAATTGAAAGAATTGTTAAGAATTGAAAAATGTGTGAAAAGGGGGGGTAGGTAATTAATAAATTATAAATTAATATAAAATTTCAATTTATCATAATTCCCTGCTGAAACTATTAAGATTATTTTAGGAGAGTCCTTGTTTGTCTTTAGCGAGTTTAGACATTTCTAGGAGATTTAGAAATATGATTTGGTCTCTTTAATAGGACATTGAAAAAAGTGTACAGGGCCGGTATATTTTTGTGTGGTATATGTGGAAGAAATACCTGTTATGTAAACTCAGATTTATGGTTTTGTTCAGAAAATAAAAGTATATATTTATATTTAAATTGACTTTATAAATATTTATAAACAAAGAAAAAAGCCAGTAATATCAATATCAATTAGAATATTATATATAAATTACGCAGATAAATAAACCAATACAATGGAAAATATGCTCATGACAGAATTCTTGTATGTAACTTATGTATCATTTACTTATTTAACCCAAATTCAATATGGTTTTCCTTCTACCAAGAGGAATCTACCAAGTAGGGTACCTACCAAGTTTCGAGATTCTAGGACTTTTTTTTCAAGAAAAAGAAATGGTATAAGAATATCTGGTATAAGAATACAAAACAAAATATATGCCTGCAAATAAAAACGCACAAATAAGGTAGCTGCCAAATTTAACAATAGGAGAATACAACATTGAGGCGGTAAAAAACTTTACATACTTAGGATCCCTAGTTACGTCTGATAACAACGTTGCAGAGGAAGTGAAGAGGAAATATTTATTGCCAATAAATGTTACCATGGCTTAATTAGGCAACTAAGATCAGATAACGTCTCCAGAAAAACAAAATGCCAAATATACAAAACCTTAATAAGACCGGTACTCACATATGGTTCAGAAACCTGGACACTCTCTAAAAGGGAGGAAACGTTATTAGCCACCTTTGAAAGAAAAATCTCGCGACACATATATAAGGGCACAAAAGAAAACGGGATTTGGCGGAGAAGGTATAACTTTGAACTATACAACATATACCAGGATGCGGATATCATAACATTCATTAAAATAGTAAGGCTACGTTGGATTGGACATGTGGAAAGAATGGAAGAAGGCGAAATACCAAACAAAATATTCAAACAAGTGCCAGTAGGAAAAAGAACAAGAGGAAGACCGAAGCTGAGATACGTAGAACAAATAGAAAATGATATAAAAACATTAAAAATTAAAAACTGGAAAAAAAAAGCACGAAACAGGTCAGAATGGAGAAGAATCCTTGAACAGGCCAAGACCCAAAAAGGGTTGTCGAGCCAGTGATGATGATGATGATAAGAATATCTGTTGACCCCACATTCAATAGGGTTATTCTTTATGCCAACAGGGTCCTCTGTATTAGCTAGAAAAGTCTAGCAATTTTTTTAGACAAAAAGTATAAGAATGTAAGAAGGGGAAGATATATTGTCCTCAAGTTCAACAGGATTGTTCCTGGCACCATGAATCTCTGTACCAAATTTCAAAACTGCTGTAATTTTCTTCAAGAACCACAAAAGCAGAAGAATATGACAAGAAAACCTATTGATCTAAAATTCTATAGGGTTAAAATGCACCAGGAGAAAACCTTTGTATCAAGTTTTAAGATTCTATGACTTTTTCGTCAAGAAAAACAAAAGACAAAAACTAAGGGAAGAATGAGATGATCTGTGAACGCCACATTCAATGAGGTTCTTGTTTATACCAAGGAGAACGTATGTGCTAAGTTTCAAGACTCTACCACTATGCCATTTGTATAACGATCTGTGGGATCCAAATAACAAAATTACTAAAAATTCAATATTTTTTCCTGGAACGATTAATTTTTATTAAACAGACAGAATACTAAGCTATTATAGCTGTGCGCTCTTATTCACTGATTTGATGTTTGTGCAGTTGGTTGTAAATAAAAATAGTCCAATCAGGTCAGACGAAAAAAATGGCAATCACATGCCGAGCTGCCTCAAATTTTATTATTATAACCTTTAGGGGATCAATAGTGGTGTAAATTTAAAATCGCGACTGAACGCAACTGTTGCATTAGCCACTATCTTGAATTTGAAAAAGGAGAACCGTTTTTCCAAAGATATTTTGAAAATGATTTATGAGATGTAAATCAAAACGTCAAATATACAGTAGCTATATATTCAAAAATATTTGTGATACTAAATACATTTTTTGGTATTTAACCTGCTTTAACCATTTAATTCGCTCTAGATTAGATTATGGATGCATGTTCTACATGACCGCCTGTAATACTTATCTTAAATCCCTAAATTCAATACAAACGACCTCCTTACGGATATGTCTAGGTGCATTTCGATCCAACCCCGCTGAAAGCATGTGCATTAAAGCTTTGTAACCCCCTCTTTTTATACGTCTGCTTTTACTCTCTTCCTATTTCACTACAGTTTCCGCCAACTTAAAAAACCCAGTAATTAAGACACTCCTAACCACCTCCTTAGACAATTATTTCAAGAAGCAATAAATGCAAAACAGTACAGTCAAGTTCTTTATAACGACGCATCTAAAGATGAAAAGAATACTGGCTGTGTTGACTGTACCGAAAACATAACCTTAGCTCTTCACCCACTACCAACCACTTGTAGTATTCACACTGCAGAATTATATGGTATCCTTAAAGCTCTTGAAAGGACTTCTCCTAATACGAAATCTCTAGCTATATGCACTGATTCTCTTCAATTCAGTCCATTGCCAACATATACTCGTTAAATTCGATAATCCAAAAAATTCAACACATCTGTCATCAAAACCACAGCAGAGGAACATCAATAACCATCCTTCGGACCCCATCTCATGTGTGGATCAGTGGAAATGAGGCTACTGAATATCGCAGCAAGAAAAGCAAGTTGTTCTGACCTACGCCTAGAAAAAATTTAACTTCATCAAGATCTAGCACCAACTTCCTCTTATGAGACCTTATGGGACGTCCCTTGTATGTCCGACTAGAAATATCCCTTGGACGTCCCTCGGACGTCCAAAAGAAGTCCTGGGACGTTTGGACCTTAAAATGGCATAAAATGGACGTCCAAGGGATGTCTTGTGCTGTCTGGGAAATAAATAAAGATTATGTTTTGTTGATTTTGTGCATTATTTGTCTCGTGAAATAGTCTTGCCGAATATCATTCGAGAGAAAATTATTTACCGGCCAAATTTTCTTCTGGTTTTATTTAAGTTATTGGTTGTCTTTTGGCAATTTTCGCTTATGAAATTTGGACAAAATCACTCGATTGACGTCTCATGATTTAATTGTCAATTTAATTCACGAAAATTGACAGGTAACAAACTTTCATACGATTCGAAAATATTGGCGGCCAAATTTTCCTTCTTATGATATCTATTATATACGACAATATTTATGAGGAAAACGGACACAATAAAGTTGTAGATTTAATAATTGCAGTTGCAGTCCACCTCTAGAATTACGTAATAGACATTATATTTATGTGAAAACATGCACGTACTGTTCGTCAACTGAAGGACAGCGTTCGATCCATTTCAAGGAGAACTTAAAATAGCACAATTTAATTTAATAATGCAATATCTATGAGAACAAACAGGTGTACTTAAAATAGCTGTTTAAGCACAAATTTCTTTACTATTGAAATTAACGTTTCTCGACATCTATGGCCATTGACACGGGTACAAAAATGTCTAGAGTATTACATTATACATATAAGATTATTACATTATATAAGATAAATACTGTAAGTTACATTAGATTTGGAAAAACAGTGTTACAAACTTTGTTTTTTTTTTGAACGAACAATGTTACAATATTTGTTATATACGATAATATAATCTGCAATCTTTTAAAAAGTCATTCAGCGTGGCCCGTGTAACGGTTACATCTTGAAAGCGACTAGAAGTTTCCGGCGATATCGAGTGCGAGAGAGAACAACGCGTCACGTAGGCGAATTAGAGGTGGGCTACTTCAGAATGTTCTAGAACATAGTAACTTTGATATATATATATATATATATATATATATATATATATATTTATATAATATATATATATATATATAAACACTGTTTTTGATGGGTTGGAGTCAATAAAGGGGCTATTTGTTGACTATTTTTTACTCGAGCTTTCAATTGTGATTACAATTTTTATCAAGAGCTTCTAAAAAATACAAAATGTCTTACAAAGTTGAACTAGAAATAAAAAATTTTTTGTTAACTTACCAAATAAAATTAGTTTTTTATATAAAACTACTGCTTACATAATAAATACAAAAAATATAATAAAAAAATGCCTTATTCTAATAAATGTTTCTCTGAAAAATTTAGATGAAGTTTCTTAAGAAAAAATTGAATTTATAAACAAAAATAGAATAGCTACAACCAGCCTAAAATGACAAAAATACTAACTTAAAAAATTTTTATTTTTGACATATTGTCCAAAAATAAAATTTTGTTTAAAAAATTCTTCTTTGTTAAGTAACAAAAAAGAAGAAGATTTATTCACCATTGATAGATGCCCGAAAAAATGTAACAAATACATGGAAAATTCAAAATGTGATATTTTACTGACTGCATAAATTAAATAGAAATTATATAATTATAAATTTTGCTTAAATTTTGAATTTCTGACCTTTTGTTTAAATTATTATCACTTTTGCTAATACAAACCATTTCCAAAAAAGTTCTTTTAAATTTATTACTTTCATTACATTTGTATTAGCAAAAGTGATAATAATTTAAACAAAAGGTCAGAAATTCAAAATTTAAGCAAAATTTATAATTATATAATTTCTATTTAATTTATGCAGTCAGTAAAATATCACATTTTGAATTTTCCATGTATTTGTTACATTTTTTTCGGGCATCTATCAATGGTGAATAAATCTTCTTCTTTTTTGTTAATTAACAAAGAAGATCCACAAGGAATCTACGTTCCTGTAGTTGGCTGTATACCATTATTAAAAATTTAATTAAAAATCCTTTGTAAAAGTATATTTTAGGCCCAAACGGGCTAAGTTAACAAGACAAAACGTTTTCGGAAACCATGTTCCATCATCAGTGTCTAGGAGTACATGAATGAAGCCACCAAGATTAAATATGTGGGTAAAACCC